TCCAAGTCACATTTGAAAAGGTTTACATTAGGCTTGTCAAATCATTTAGTTGAATTTTTTCAAATTGTTTAAATTAGGTGTGTTCAGATGAAATTTGTATCATCAATTAATTAGAATATTGTAAAATAGTACAATTTGTTGACTAGAATAAAGATTGGGACATATTATTCAGTTACAACAAAAGTGGTATTGAGCCTTTAAAGATACATTATGTAAGATTTAAATAAAGAGCTAGCCATTCTTGCTATAATAGTTCGAAAATAGATAATGTAAAAATAATAATTTGAAAAACTTCATTCAAATTACTCTATTGCGAGCGAAGATATTAGCATTTGAAAGTTTGACAAGACGTGTGCAATAATTTCAACCACCGACGTACTGGTTGTTTGAAGCTAAGTCTCGCTCCTCCATTTTTAGCTTAAATCAAAATATGGTTGAACTGTTCTAATCTATTTAATATCGGCAAAATCCGATGCCATGGAGAATTGATTATGGTCTGGATAGGTTAATTAATGTCTAATTAATAATTTAGAAAACATTTCAGGCCTAAAGAAAGACCTGCAATAGGCAGATTTAGCTCTTGCATAATGTATGTTAAACTTATAATCTTTTTTCTTGAGAAAATGTTGGCATGGCTACATTTTCCAGACAGCTATGTGACCAGTAGTCTCAAAATCGTGATCGTCCTCAAGTACATGCCGTCCTCAAGTTCATACTGCAATCAGAGTGCTTAATCAATTTATATCAAACTGAGAGAGAGAGAGAGAGAGAGTGAGTTTAATGTCTACTCGACACAAACTAGGCCATTTCGGGATTAATATATGGTTCAAATTTAGGGGACTTTAGTAGTGGGAGGAAACTGGAGAAAACCCACGAAATTGGACAGGTGGCCCTACTCCTTGTCATGTACAAGTGTGGGAGTATAACTCCACTTGACACAAACTAGACCATTTCAGGACTAACATATGGTTCAATTTTATTTCAATAATTCCCTTGTGCGAAGGGTTCTTTAGCAGTGGGTGGAAACCGGAGGACCTGAAGAAACCCACTTTGATGAACAGACGAAAAGACCCTACTCCTTGTCATGTACAACCGTGGAATTGAAACCACGCCAGACCTTTATGCAATATTGCTTCATTTTGCAAGCGGACGTTAAATAAAGTCTGTTCACAAACAGACATACATAAATAAAACCGAAGTACATGTAAATGAATTGAGATATTGGCAACTTGGCAAGCAAATCATTCTAACAGTATTTAAAACTATTTACGTCCTAAAATTAGTCGTGTGATTTACCTTCCAACACATGTGAAATGTTGATGAGCTAGTTCTGCACAGACAAGGTGCACAAATTTAAGTGATAAAAATATTGTATAAGCTCATCATCAACAATAATAATGTGTGAATAAACATACATGCATGTATATGACAGCGTTGTAAATGATGAAAATAGATCTTACAGATAAAATAGCTCTACATCTTGTGTTGGGTATCATCAGAAAACTTAACGATTAACCGTTTTTTTGAAGCTGTAAAGATACGACTTTATTTTCACCCGATCAGTTCTTGTGTTGAGTATCATGAGAAAACTTAACGATTCACCTTTTTTGAAGCTGTAAAGATACGGCTTTATTTTCCCCCGTCCAGTTCTTGTGTTGGGTATCATCAGAAAACTTAATGATTCACCGGGTTTTTTGAAGCTGTAAAGATACGACTTTATTTCCCCCCGTCCAGTTCACGTACACCAAGGATGATACCCGACAGGAGAGCAAAATGAAGTTTTAACGTAAGCTCAACACAAACTTTGGTTCAATTTTTTTTAATAATTCACTTGAGTTAGTGTATCAGTGGATATTGACAGACCCACAGAAAACTTAAGTATGGAATCAACACCAAGCCACTTTATTCAATGACAGACCATATGATCTATATCACACGCCACTCAACCCCTTACCTTCAATATCTCTTTAATTTAGATCTATACGTCAAAAAATATGTAGTTTCTTGAAATTAAATGAAAAGAAATGTTTAACGTCCTATTGATCTACTCCAACTGGGCTAATGAAGACGGGTATACGCCATACAGAGTTCTATGAGGGAAATTTTGCCCGGGCAGCGGCACTATCGCCTACTCTTATATCGAATTCCAACTGCCAAAGGATCTTTTATGTGCACGCCAATGTGTACACAGGACCATGGGTTTTCATCCCATCCAAATGACTAGACAGCTGTCCTTGTCAGGCCCTCCATCCAGCACCACTGACAAGGGGAAACCACGTCAGAAAATCCTGATGAACTTTCTTGGCCGTAATTTTTTGAAATAATGGAATAAAGCAATATTTCGAGAAAATCCGATGCCACTCCTCAATTAGTTTGGTTGCTGAAATACATGTAAGTTAACATTTTGTTTTATTGTTCAGTTTTGTATTTGTATGGTTAAACCATGAGTTGCCACCTTTAATTTACACCTGTTGGTACAATATATACCTAACGAGTTTTACTCAGGTGTGTAAAATAATACCTGTATCGTGGTATATTTATTCCAGTAAGAATTTTAACAAACAGCTGTTTAAATCCGACTCATGTCATTATACGATAATTCTATTTCACTATTTCAACATTTTGTTTACATTCAATTTAAAATTGTGAAAACATCACGCTAATTAAAACATTGATCATCACTGCAACCTCTTGTTTTCATGCTTTTTTGTGTATTTCTTATGACACATTTCTCCGTGCAATTATGTCTAAATTACGATCAATGCTTTAATTAGGTCTATAAATATATATATGTTCATCTGCTGTTATGTGTACTCAATTGTTTTTCCACTCAACACAAACTAGGTCATTTCGCGACTACCATAATGTTTAATATTATTTCAATAATGCGCTTGTTGGACAGGCGACCCTACTTCTTGTCACGTACAACCGGAGAATCGAAACCACCCTAGTAACTCAATGATAGACCTTATGATACAACGTGCACACGCTAACCATTCGGCCATCCAACCCCCCTCTAATTTGACAGATATAATTTCTAATACCTCATTAGATCCTTTATGACAGTTTTCCACTTATTCAATTTATTTCAGATTTCACAAGCCAAAATTTGATGCTAGATGTTTTTGTATTAAGTATTGAATTAGCTTCATTTTCATATTTACATTTTTATTGGATGAATTAACAAAAATGAGAACCATTACTGTGATAATATGAAAGTTTTGTAAACTGTTAATATTTAATTTTAAATAAAATATACACCTTTTTATTTTCAATGTCATGAAGTTATTTTTTTATACTTTTCACAATTTTAAATTAAGCATGGAAACAATTACACAGAAACCTGTATAAGGCAGCAGGAAGATGGAATTCATTAATATAAACCGCATACGCTAAAAATGGAAATGAAATGAAATGGGGTTTAACGTCCTACTGTTCTGCTCCGAACTGGGCTAATGAAGACAGGCATATGCCATACAGTGTGCTATGAGGGAAATTTTGCCCAGACAGCAGCACTACAGCTTACTTTTATATCGAATTCCAACTGCCAAGGGATCTTTTACATGTATGCCAATATATACATGGGACCTCGGTTTTCGTCACATCTAAACGACTAGACAGCTGCACCACTGACAAGGGGAAACCATGTAGGAAACGCTAAAAATGGAATAGATTAGTTGGTTACCCTATTATAACTCAAAGTATAGCACACGACACGATGATAGTTTTACATTAAATACCAACCAATCAGTATTTGGAAAATATTGACCAATATGGTCTGAGATAAGATGAATTTACTTTGACACTTATATAAACTATTCTATCATCTATAAATCTCCGGGGGGTTCGGTGGCCGAATGGTTAGCACGCGCGCGCTGTATCATACGGTCTGTCATTGAGTCAACTGGCGGGGGTTTCGATTCCCCAGTTGTACGTGACAAGGAGTAGGGTCGCCTGTCCAACCTCGTGGGTTTTCTCCGGGTCCTCCGGTTTCCTCCCACTGCTAAAGACCCCTACGCGCAAGCGAATTATTGAAATAAAATTGAACCATGCGTTAGTCTCGAAATGACCTAGTTTGTGTCGAGTGGACGTTTAACCCCATTTCTCTCTCTCTCTCTATAAATCTCCAATAGGGAGACAGAAAAATGGAGTTTAACGTCCACTTGACACAAACTAGGTCATTTTGGGACAAACATAATGTTCGATTTATTTTCATTAATTCGCTTGTACGTAGGAGTCTTTAGCAGTGGGAGGAAACCAGAGTACCCAGAGAAAACCCATGAGGTTTACAAATGGCGTTGAAACACATTATGGTATACGATTCTTGTACTAATGGTAAAATGATTATTTTGTCTTAAATATTGGATATCAGAAGTCCATCTTTTCCCGGAAAGATCATAACATCAATGTTGACTTAAATTGACAATTAAAATCGTGTTTTCAATGTTGAAGACTTTGGATGATATTGAGTTAGAGACTTAGCTACTTTAAAATTGTAATCAGTGACATCCATCCAGATGCTGTAAATTTGAAGTTGAAATACCTAGATTTTTTCACAAGAACAGTTGTGAGGTTATCCCGTACAAACTCTATAAAGAATAGGTAAATGTAGCTAATTTGTCGATGTTTTGAGATCTAAAAGTTCTCCTCTCGGCTAACAGGAAACATTTATCACCTACTTATAGTTGCCTAAATATTGACACGCGAGGGGCATAGGTAGTCAATCTTACCTAGCGAATAAACAATTTCACTAGCTGATGTGATAACAAATAAATCATTAGCAAGTCAGCATGATGGTAATACTCTCCAAACCAATAACCATCCGCTTTTAAACCTGGCCAATGACATCAATGAATAAATATCTTAACAGACGCATAAAATTATAAAAAAGATGGCGTCGGCTATCAGATGTTTGTGATGTAATATAAATAATCATGGTATAATTAAGGAAGGTGTCATACACATAATGTGTTTTTCAGATAAAAGAAACATGTTTTTACCTTGAATGATGTCAGTGTCTCGCTGACTTCTTTTAGTTCCTGAAATATAAACAAATATATTAAAGATACCGTTGTAATTAATATTAAAGATACTGTTATAATTAATATAAAAGATACCATTGTAGTAAATATTAAAAATATAATTAATATTACAAAGATACATTGTAATCTATATTTAAGATACATTGTAATCTATATTAAAGATACTGTTGTAATTAATATTAAAGACACCATTGTAATTAATATTAAAGACACTGTATTAATTAATATTGAAGATACCATTGTAATTAATAATAAAGATACCATTGTAATTAATATTAAAGATATCGTTGTAATTAACATTGAAGATACCATTATAATTAATATTAAAGACACTGTTATAATAATATTAAAGATACCATTGTAATTAATATAAAAGATATTGTTGTAATTAATATCAAAGACACTGTTGTAATCTATATTAAAGATACAGTTTTAATCATTATTAAAGTACCATTGTAATCTATATTAACAGTATCATTGTAACTAATATAAAAGATATCATTGTAATTAATATTAAAGATATCATTGTAATTAATATTAAAGATACCATTGTAACATCAAAGATACCATTGTAATTAATATTAAAGATACCATTGTAATTAATATTAAAGATACTCTAATATGTAATCTAAGTGGACTTGAAATGAAATAAAATTAAATGAAATGCTGGCTTTAACATCTTACTTTTTTGCACCAACTGGGCTATTGAAGACAGACAGATGAAATATATGCAGTGTGCTATGAGGGAAATTTTTACCTGACAGCAGCATTATGGTCTGCTCTTATTTCAATTTCTCTCAGGAGATCTTTAAAGTTTCATCCTCATGATTTGATGATTCTCCTTGCATGGTCATCCATCTTACACCCTGACAAGGGGAAGCAAGTTGGAAAATCATGAGGAACTAGTTCGGCTAGCACAGGGATCGACTCCTGGATCTCTTGGTTAGTGAGAGAGAGAGAGAGAGAGAGAGAGAGAGAGAGAAAGAGAGAGAGAAATGAGGTTTAAAGTCCACTCGACACAAAATAGGTCATTTTGAGACTAACATATGTTTCAATTTTATTTCAATAATTCGTTTGCGCGTAGGCGTCTTTAGCAGTGGGAAGAAACCGGAAGACCGGGAGAAACCCACGAGGTTGGACAGGCAACCCTACTCCTTGTCACGTACAACTAGGGAATCGAAACCACGCCAATTGACTCAATGACAGGCTTTATGATACAGCACGCACGTGTTAATCAATCGGCCATCCTGCCCCCCTGGTAAGTGTAATAAAGGGTGGATCCATAGACCATGAATAGACAGGGGTACACAGGTGATGCCGGATGCTACGAGTGCCAAAGGTACAAAGCGCACAGTTGGGGTGTCCAGGTGGCCTCCCCTGGGAAAATTTTGAAAAACTATAAGCCAGGTAATGCTATTACCTGTGCCCTTGGTACAAAGCGCACAGCGGGGGTGTCCATGTGTTCTCCCGTGGGAAAATTTACGCAAAAACTAGAAGCCAGGTAATGCTATTACCTGTACCCTTGGTATCGATACTTTGCCTAAAATGAAACCCATGACCGTTATCAGGTATTTTAAGAAAATATCTACTATTTTATACTGAGTTCTCAGACCCCTTGGTTAATAAATTTAATACAAGTTTTTGTTTGCTTTTCTAAAATAGCAATTAATGTAGCATTCTGTAACATGGTCTATTATGGACCTACGTATATATTCAGTCTCCATTGTACTGTGAGTTGGTTTTCTTTATCATTCTGCTACGGACTGGTCTCGAAATGGAAACTATGACTGAATCTTTAACAATTGTAAACTCGTTTAGAAAATTAACAGCGCAATTTTTGTGCGAAAACCCATATAATTGTTATCTCAATTTTTCTCTAGACAAAAACCTTATTTAAGAGGTGTCAATAACATTTGAAGCGATCATCAATCAAACTTGAAAACATGCGGCAACTGACAAACATGTCTCTTGTTTTTGCCATTTGATCTTGCCGAGTTGTCCGCTTGTTGTAAAACATTGTGTCTGTAATTATTTTCCAGCACATCTCCACTGTGAATTGAATTGACATAAATTGGATAGATTTTAAGACGGTTTACGCATGCATAAAAGTCTAAAAAAAATCAATTTCCCTACAGGAATAGAATACATTCAATTCCAAAAATCCAATCTAGACTGAAACGACGACTAAAAAAGTAATTTCGAAAAATATTAAACCTCTTAATAAATATCTTTATATTTAGAGCAATTTAGGACCCTGCCCACAGCAACCATAGCACCTACTTTGATAAAACTTCATTTACTTTGATAAAAGCTTCAAATTTTTAAAAATAATGCATGTAATTATGTTAATACATCCTTTCCATAAGTATAGCACGAACCCGAATGTCAATATTACCTGCAACAGTAACTTTCAACATTAGTAATTTCTGCCATTCTCCGTAAGTAGTTATAACTTTCCGAACTTTCCGTCAATAAACAATCTGTGATGTCATTTAAGTCCTTCTGCTCGTATTCTAGTGTATATTTCTATGACCAGAAATAACTAACGATGAAATTTACCTGTTGCAGGTAATATTGACATTCGGGTTCGTGTTATACTTATGGAAAGGATATGTTAACATAATTACTTGCATTATTTAAAAAAATCATGAAGCTTTTCCGGTGACCTTTAAGGCAAATTATTTCTTAAATTAAAATGTAACTTTAAGTTTTTCTGGATTTTTTTTCAAACCAACAAGTATCTAAATGATTGGCATATGATCTCCAGGGCTTCCGATAATGTCAGTTGAGTTTTAGGTTCTCGCTGAATTACTACAATTACGTAAAGCAGACACAGAAAATGATTTAATCAATATCCGTAAAGATTTTTAAATGTATTTGATTTATAAGTATAAACGGAGCTGTTAATATGCCTAAAACCAATGTTTACATTAGTTTACGACTTCTTGAAAAGTTAATTCGATAAAATGATCAGATTGCATTGATGTAAATCAAGATTATCATGATTTAAGCTCCGCATGACTAAATAAATGTAGAATATTGACTTTTCACTTAAAGTTATCTATATTATCAAATAAATTTCGTTTATTTTTAGTTACTTTGATTTCAAAATACATGAAGCTGTCAAATTTATATATTACTTCAATAAATTAAAAACAGTACAGTTAAAATACATGACCTGCAAACATTTGCTAATATATATTATGACATAATTCTACCATGATTGGCTTTGCATTCCTTCCAAAAGACTAGACACTTTTGCTTGCTAGGTTTTCCATCCTCCACCACTGGAAACCAAACTGGAATATCATGAGGAAATGAAATGGGGGTTTAACGTCCTACTGTTCTGCCACGAACTGGGCCATACAGTGTGCTATGAGGGAAATTGTGCCCAGACATCGGCACTACGGCCTACTTATATTAAGAATTCCAACTGTCAAGGGATCTTTTACGTACACGCCAATGTGTACATGGGAACTCAGTTTTCGTACAATCCAAACGACTAGACAGCTGTCTTTGTCCTGCATCACTGACAAGGGGGGAACCAGGACAGGAAATCTGGATGAACTTTCTCGGGCAATGCAGGGATCGAACACCCAACCTCCAGGCTAGCGAGACAGTGTCTTACCCACGTAGCCACCGTGATCCCGATATCATGAGGAACTATCTCTGCCAACTCCCTAAATCTAATACTTTCTGTTTAGTAAGCCAAGGCCATTCTCACTGAGCCTACATTGGTTATAAACAAATGAACATCAAGGTATTGATGTAGTGAAACTATACACCAAGTTTCATCACCCTCACTTAATTAGAACTAAAATTATCATGTCCCAAAGCATCAACCAATCAAATTGCTTATCTCTGCTTACCCTAAGCAGAAAATGCTCATCTTCGAACTCCATCAAGGTATTGACCTAATAAACACCTACACCAAGTTTGAACATTCTAGCTCAATTAGGAGAGTTATTGTGTTCCAAAAAGTGTGACGAACAGATAGACAGACGGACGGACAGACAGACAGAAAGACACAGACAGACGGACGAACCCATTTTAATAGTCCCCTGCTTTCTTCGAAAGGCAGGGGACAACAAATGAACCTAAAACATACTTCTGGCAAGGCTCTCGATAAGCCATTAAATCTTAGTGAAGCAGGTTTGATTACAAATTACTAACACAATAAAATCCAATCAGACTTTACATTTCTAACTCAGCCAGCTCAGACGTATCAGGCCGTGTTATTCCATGTGTAAATCATCACTACAGAGGAACAATGTTCCTTTAACAAACCTCGAGTTTTGTCAGGCCAGATCCCGATAAATGATTACGTAAGCTTAATAAAATTATCCCAGAAGCTTTTACATTGTTACGACTTATGTAACTGCACATGACATTTCGCAATGGAATTATGCGGCAAGTTTAATCACTTTTCTTATTCAATCAATCTTACGGTCCATTTCACAAACAACATCATCTTCTTTCTTTTTATTTTGCTTCCCTTCCATAAAACTCATCTTGAAATGTTGCAGAAATCTCGTTATTTCAGATTAGTATTAAAACTCTATGCAACACACTTGTATTAAATATCGAATAACTACGTTTGCCAGAAGCCCAAAACTTCTGAACGTCGGCTAAACTAACCTCACAAAAAATCTGATATTGTTCACTAAGGTTACTTCATCTCATGTCTAATGTAATATTAGTTTTAAAAAAAGTATGTAATACTGTTCACTAATTCTATAAAGTTACTTCAAATATAGTCAGTTTAACAAGATTTTTCCTAAATTTCCCCGAACTGAACAAAAGAATAAAATGCTAAAGGTCATTTGTTGAGAACATCAGATAATTAAGTAAGACTGGCCTTACTTTAAAATAAGTATTAAAGCATTTGAATGGCTGATTGACTTCGACTTTCAGACTAATTCCATTTAACAACAAATAAAAGCCGATTTAATGAGAGTCTGGGAACAGAAAAAATAAATAAATAAAAGAAAATAAAC